GCATCATCATACTTGGTGGGGACAGGATAGGTGTCACTATATCACACCTACCTGTCGGGCAGGTGCCCTCACATCTCTACCTGGAGCGGAGAGGTGCCTCACATCATTCTTACCTGAAGGGGACATATGTTCCCATCATTCGTAAGTGGAGGGGACAGGTGCTTTCATCATACATAGTTGGAGGGGACATGTGCTGCTACCTTATCCATACCTGGAAGGAATAGGTATCATCCATTTCTGCAGGGGATACCGGTACCCTGCATCATCCATACCTAGAGTGGGTAGCTGCCACTCCATCACCCCTTTCTGGAGAGAACAGGTGCCTTGCCACTCCACATTATCCATACCTGGTGGAGAATAGGTATATCATCCCTATATCATCCCTACTTGGATTGGAGAGGTATTCTTACAATTCTAGAGGGGACAGCTACTACCACATTATTTATCTTTGGAGGAGACAAGTGCCCCTGCATTATGTGGCACTACATCTTTGTTACCTGTAGGGGACAGGTGCTGCTACATCACAGTTAACCTGAGAGAAGACAGGTGTCTCCACATCATATCTGGATGGCTTGGGAGCCCCCACATCATCACTCCCAGAGGGGATAGGTGCCGTTACATTATTATTACCTGGAGGGGACATTGCCCCCACATCACTATATTTAGGAGAGACAGGGTGACACTGAAATATAGTATGAACTGGGCACTACTTGTAAGCATCACTGTTACCTGGGAAGAGGGGATAGGTACCCCACATTCTTGCTATTGAGGAGGACAGGTGATTGTACATCACTGCTGCATGACAGGGTAGGGACTCTCATCCCTTTCACCTGTACCCTTAGTCCTTGGATGTTGAGGGAAGGACAGGTGTCGCTCATTTGCAGACCTGAGGTTGTATAACTATCTCCCTTTTGGACTTCTGAGGGTAAGGTCAGGTACCCTCTCCTGCAGTAACCCGTGGGGACCTGCTGGGTCAGAAAGGCAGTTTATACGTAACTCTGGTGTTGGAGTCAACACAGCTACCCCTTTCCTAGGCATCCTCACCAGGACAGGGACAGCTGGCTACGCATGGTTCCCTGGCCCTGTCATGCAAAGGTGGCCAGACTTTCCTTCCTCAGGTAGCTGGTGCATTTAGCACCTCACCTGGGTAGCTGCTGGGTTATGGGACTGGCTCTGGGCCAGGGTCAGAAGCCTAAATCTTCTACCTGCCCCAGTCCTCTGGCCACCCTACTGTGGCAGGTACCAAGCTTCTGGGGCCTGACTGTCCTCAGGCCCCTCATGTCTAGCATGTCTGACAAGATCTTCCAGTGAATGTCACGATTTGTACAGGTATTTAAACCTTTGTGGTATTCCTGCCATTGAGGGGACCCTTCCCTGCACCCTAGTGCTATTGGATTGGATTGATAGTGGAGAATTGGGTGGGGCTGCAGACCCCACACCACTGGTTTCTGGATGTGGCCTCTAATCTGACCATTCCAGGCTGACCACACCAGGCTCAGGCTTTGATTCCATAGGTGGAATTTTTGGGTGACTTTATTTCTAATCAGTTGCTAGTTTCTTACAAAATTATGACCTTAGGAACTAGAATGTGTCTTCATTTTTAGTGTATATTCAGTTGTTCGTTATTTACTGGGTACTGCCTGTCCCTGCTCAAGACATAGAGGGAGGGATGGTTAGTGAGTGAATGTGGAAATGGATGAATGAAACCATGCAGCTTGAGTGTCCCCCACAAATTAGGGCTTCCGAGGGTAGGTGTTCCTTCCTCTTGCCTTTGGCATGTAGTGTGTGTTGGCATATAGTAGGTGTTTAATATATGTGGCCTGATGAAAGAAAGGGGTCACGGGAGGTTCATGACTGTCTTCATGATTGGAGGTCTGGTTTCTGTGTTGTGGTTGGAAATGGATATTGTTAAAAAGATTTCTTTAAAATAATAGCTTTATTGAGATATAGTTCACATACCATATAATTCACTTGTTTAAAGTGTGCAATCCAGTGGTTTTTAGTATATTTGTAGAGTTGTGCAACCACCACCACTGTCTAATTCCAGAACATTCCATCACCCCAAGAGAAACTCTGTTCCCATGAGCAGTCACTGCTGTCTCCCTCCTCTACCTCTGACAGTCAGTAATCTGTTTTCTGTCTAGATTTATCTGTTCTGGACATTTCGTTTAAGTGGATCACACACTGTGTGGTCTTTTGTATCTTGCTTTTCTCATTCACATCAAGTTTTATCTGCATTGTAATGTCAGAATTCCATTCTTTTTTATGGCCAAGTAATATTCCGCCAGATTGATGGATCATTTTTGTCCTTCCATTCTTCTCTCTCTCTTTTTTTTTAAAGATTTATTTATTTATACATACAGAACTGCCAGAGGTGCAGGGGCTGTGAGAGGAGTCACCAGAGACAGAGTAGGGAACAGAACAGGCTGATTGAGGAATTACACTACTGAGGGGAACAGTGGGCAGGTTAGGAGAACTGTTCAGGAGGGGAACAGTGGGCAGGTCTGCTGTGCCATGTCAGTCACCTCCAGGGCAGGGGATTGAACTTGCACTGAAGCAACTGCAGCTAGCTTGCAGTGCTGCATTCTAACTCATTGCACCACCAGGAAGGGCCCATCATCCTTTCTTTGATGAATTTAGAAAATATTTTTAAGAATTTCCAGGTAGCAATTCTGAAATGACTGGGTACCATTTCCCATTCTTTTGCTGCTGCCTTCTTTACATGGGGGAGGTGGGTAGGACTGGGAACTGGGTAGCAGTGAGTTTATGCTGGATTTCAGAGACAAAGCAGTGTTCTCACCTGTGATTCTGCTGCCTCCTTGGAACATCGAGCATTGACTGGTTGTTTGGACTGAGAGATGGTTGCTACTGGGATCAGATGGACAGAGACCAGGGACACTGCTGAGCACTGAGTGAGTGCTTGAACTCAGAGATGATCCAGTTCTGGATGTGGGAAATGCTGAAGCAAGAAGTCTTCAGTTTGGAGGAAACATTTAGTGGGTAGGATGTAAGCTTTCCTCCTGAGCAGATGGAGATCACAACTCTCTACCCACTTGTGTGGCAATGCCACCTTGGACAGGTGGATGGCTTTCTGGCACTTGGAACCATGTGAGGGCTAGCTTGTTCAGTCATCATTATAGGTGGCAAGTGGCATCCTGCAGAGCCTGAGTGGAGAGGGAGCCTACTTTGCCCTAGGCCTCCCTGGTGACCTGGGGGTTAAATCTCAATACGACCACTACCATGGCCTGAGTTTGATCCCCAGCCAGGGAGCTGACACACATTTGGTGCCCTCTTGCCTGTTGCTCTCCTCAGCAGTGTATTTTCTACTCCCTACTCTTGATGCTGATGAACTCTCTCACCCTCGGCCTATACCCCAGTGCTTTTCAAAAAAATCATGCTCCCCCTTCCCTCTGTGGCTACAGCTTTCCTAAAGTGCCTTTCCTATGGTGGATACTAGGATTTCAGCTGCACCTTTCAGC